GATGAGCAGTTGTGCAATAAAACGTTTGATTTTAACCCATTAAATATCTTTATAATGAACAATGTTCCCCTGATTAGATTTTTTTGGGCTTTTGGTATGTTATTATTTGTATATTTCAGAAACGGATTCCGTAAAATATTTATGTTAAAAAATTACTTCTGTGTACATTATAATTTTGTCTAAAGATTTACTGGTTCGACTATAAAGCTAAGTCAGCGCAAAACTGAAAAATACTCAGATTTTGGATTCATTTTTCGAATCGTTAACCCTCGTTAACCCTAAAATGACTTAGTTTATTATAATCCTTAATCATTTATTAATTAATATCTGTTAAAATTAGAATGGGCGAATTTTGGCCAATTTATGAAAATTGAAGTTGAAATATACTATACTTTTATAGGTCATGTAAATGTTCCATTAAATTCGAAACTTTTCTTAGTGGAAAGTATTAATATGTTTGATATTTTATGAGAGATAAATATATCAGCTTCAAAATAGAAAAGATTGCGCAGCCATAGTGATTGACAGTATGTAGTGCGCATTGAGAAAAGAAGGTGCTCTCCATTTCGTCATGTTCAATTTTTTGGTCAACTATGCCTGCTGAAAATTTGATGGCGGGGAATACGCGCTGCGGCAACTTTGATCTTGGTTCATTTGCATAGCGCTGCGTGCGCGTAGATTTGCCGAGTGATCTCCTTCTCAATAATACCTCAATGTTATAACCATGGAGGTATTATAATAATACCTCCATGTTATAACTCTGGCAGCGACATTCTAGGCGCACGTGCGTCCCTACACGCTGAACGTCACAAAAACCAAAGCAACAAGACCATAAACCGTCACCGTACGTGACGATTTACCCACGCGCGTGTTAGTTGCCATGATAATCGCGCGTCGTGCGGTGATTACAAAGGACTAATGATATTTTGCACTAACATTAGACTAAAATATATCCTTCATTTCAACATTAATTTTACCAAAATTGTGGTGAATTGTCGTTCATGAGACTCACTTCGCAGTAAACATTAGTAAATGTCATGTATATATTCAAATGTTCGTTTTCGGCACCTTATGCCAACATTGTCAAAATGACAAATTAATATTACATAAGAACATGAAATTTTATAAAATTCGTAAAATTTAAATTGCTCTAACTTTTCATTTTCTTAGTCAATTTTCACAAATCAAATTGCAGTTTATAGAAGCATTTAACAAGCTCGCGGTAAAAAAAAATCAGATGTAACAGACATTACGAAGTACTCAAAATTAATAAAATAAAAACTAACACCATAAAACGAATGGCACGCATAGACTAATAATTGACGGCTGTACTCGCAACTAGTACCGGATTGTCGATGCCACAGTAAGATCAAAGGACTGTACGCACGCGCTATGTTCGAGAGATGTGCGTCCTTCTGTTGAATTACCTTGGTTATTGCACTCCAAAACAACATTGTAGGCCTACGTGTATTTTTTAGTAACTGTACTTTAAGTTTTGTACTACATTTGTATTATTATCAGGGCCACTGCCCTGCCACAGACGACCGGGTGGTCATGAGTTGTAACACAAAAAACTGTAACACAAAAAACACAACCAATAAAAAGGTGCTCAATTGTAGCCTACATAAAAGATTTAATCTTCATTATCGACAAAGCTCAATACATTAATTACAATACATCTATAAAGACAACACATTATTTTTTATTTTAATCAACATTCTGTAAAAATGGCGATGCTATAATACTGTTGTACAGTATATGACTGCCGAAAGACGGTGGAGTTGGAAAGAAAAATATGGGAAAATATTACGAATTGGCTTGATGAATACTGATTAGTGAAACAAATGTAAACTGGCATATACGAGTATCCCTGTGTATCACTAATAAGGATTAGACATTATTCAAAATGCAATACAAAAAAGAAACATCAAAATGGCAACATACAAGACCCTTTGATTATCATATGAATATTAAAACACCCTCGATTAAAAAAAAGTATATATACAAATACATTAGTCCTTTTCTACAATAGGCCCTATACAGTATCAAAATATGTAAATATACCTAAAGACACAAAAACGCACCCTCAAAAGCCTGTGCAAACAAATTTATACGACATATTTTATAGATAACGCTGGTTAACTTACAAATATTGAAACAGTCAAAGACCTTTATTTTTATCAAAAATTTGCATGCATCCCATAATTCAATCTGAGTGTCTTTTTTTTTTTTTATATTGAGCACAGTAATAAATCAATTAAAACAAACATGCCTGTATCCGCCACTGAAGCTTTAACCTAAAAGGTCGATTATAGACAATGCTCCAACAAATGTAAAGTACTTCAAAAGAAACAGAGAGGAAAGCTAAATGTATTATTAACAGTTACAATAGGAGCTAAAGATAAACAGACAGTAAGGACATGGCTACAAGGTTACATAAACGAAAAGAATTATATGGAAGTGAAAATGTCAATGATTGGAATTTAAGTACTGATAGAAGGATGTCGTTTTTGTTGGCGATAAATTTGATAAACATGATATCACCAAGGCACAAATTACAGAGTGTGCCAATTATTGAGCCTCCTCATAAATTTTACTTTGTTATTAGGTATATTCAAACTACATAATACTACAGTGTACATCCATGTAGTAGTGATTATCCATAATATATTTATATTCGAGTTATAATAATAATTCTACAAAAAAAAAAAAAAAAAATAGTACACATAGTAAATAAAGTGGATAAAAATAATATAGTAGATAAAACGAAATAAAATTAGTTATTTAACTGATGTCTATGACAATTTTTATTATACTAAAGTTATTGCATAGTTACAGAATTAGAGATTTATGCCAATGGAAGTTTAGAATCCCTTCTCCTGTATTTGATATACCTGTACAGTAGTTGAATTTTTATATGGGTGTGGTATCGCTCTCTCTAAATGCAAAAATGAATTCAGTCTAAAAAGGAGTGCCTACAGACATCACTTCAATATATTCTTAACATAGTGAAAAATTAGTACATCTTTAATAAATTCAAATTACACGTCTTCTTTCACTATATTTCAATCTACAGGAGAGATCACTGTACAGTAGGCATTCTGTCATTCTTGCATTTAGAGAGCTTGAAGAGAGCTTAAAGGGAATTGTTCTTTTAATTGTAGGATCATTAAAAAGAGTGAATCACATGTAAATTGATTGGGTACTCCTAATCCCCTTTCTACACATAGGACACAATTTATTAGGTAGATTAGTGTAACACATTTTGCAGGAGCAGCAATGTCCGCATGGCATGAAGACAAGACTCCGTTCATCTTCTCCACAAATAACACATAGCTTTGAATCTTCTGCTTGCTGTTTCAGCTCATCAATCTCATGTAATCTTTCCTTTAGACTAGCCTGCTCATCCATTAACCTTTTAGAATATTCACTTTCTCTTCGCTGGGCAGCTTTCTTCTCCATCTCTAAATTCTGGATAAACTCTATGGCTTTTTGATGCTTAATTGTCATAAGTTCCGAAGACAGACTTCCGTTTTCTTCAGTCAAAGATTTAAGTGTTTCTTCAAGTGAGGTATTCTCTTTCCGAATTCTATCAAGGTCCTGTAATTCCACACGGGCATCTGTGATATCTTTCTGCAGCAATTGTATGCAGACTATGTGAGTCTTTATCTCATTCTCAAGAGCTTCTATTTTATCATTTGCAGACTTTTGGGAATTTTCAAGTTTCCACCACAAGTATTTGATGTATACAAAGGGTGATATGACTAACAGAAAACCAATGACTACAAAAAGCACCATGGTCATTGGTACCCTACCAGCATACAGTCAGTAGGCGTAACCTATGAAAAAGAATAAGCTGGAACTGCTTTCCGGTAGCTATATGACTGGAAATGCCAAACCTACAAATTTTAAAAAGAAATTTTACTGACAATATTAATTAGGCACTGGCCTACAAGGTTCCAGAAACACATGAGACTGTCTACGCTGTTTTATGCGATGCATACGAAAATGTACTCCAACTCTGAGGCCTAGTGACAATAAAAACCTAGAGCAATATGTTACTTACTGTACTTCGCATTATTGCTACTATATATAGTACTTATCTCTACTGTACTACTACTACTGACCAGGCCAGGGAGCTGCTGATTGACGTGCTACTCTACCAAGAGTACAACTCCCTGGTACCATGGAGGTATAAAAATAGAGTGGTACAGTGATCTTAAAGCATAGGCTAGGCCCAGCCTCGCTGCTCCTTCGCTTGCTCGGGGAAATCCCAATAAACAAGTGTTAAAGGTCATCTACGTATGCATTGACCTTCTCAGGGGGCGTGGTTTGATAAGTGCGTTGAACCGTCGCGACAACAATAACAAAGACTCGTGGATAATACTGTAATACGATTGGCGTGCAGTAACCTATTTAAAGTAAAATATTTCTTGAAGGTTTGCATGGCGAGTATCAATAAACGTATAACAAATTTCCGGTACACCATGTGTAAATAAAAGAATATGGTTTTTATTAAGGTAAAAACCACTGGTTGGTTGTCTCGATGTTTCGGTAAGATTGCTCTGACCGTCATCAGGAGAATGATAAAAGATGACTTATGTTGGTCTTAAATAGAGTTGGTGATCGTCGGTGATCTATTGTTTCCCTTTGAAACAAAGAAGGTGTGAATAGTGCTTGATTGAAGTAAAGAGCTAGGAGTGTCCATAGATCATGACTAATTGTCTTCCCATAATAGAGGATTAGCTATTATGTCGGCTGTGTAGAAGCTGTGAACAGTAAATCTGAAAACAAGTAAAGTGGTTAACAATAAGCAATACATACAGTTTATTTGTTTACATGTAATGCTGGTTATCATTTTTATTGTCATGAGAAGGTAACTTGTGAATTATGAGCCTGCCGGGTTTGTCCCTTAAACTGCGGGAGAACGGTTACACCTTACACCTAATCATTCTCCTGATGACGGTCAGAGCAATCTTACCGAAACGTCGAGACAACCAACCAGTGGTTTTTACCTTAATAAAAACCATATTCTTCTATTTAAAGTATTTATCATGGAGGAAATATATAATAAATATTATTTCCTCCATGGTATTTATTGACAATCTTCACAGACAGGAGCAGGGGGGGCCCGTGCCCACCGTCAGTAACACCGAAAAATATAAAAAAAAAGAGGAAAAAGAGCTTTAAAGGGAAGAAAGAAAGAGGGAAAAAGAAGTTGTGTAGCCGCTGCGGCGGTATGTGTCCACAGCTATCCATGCTCAGTGGCGTAACGCCTATAGTGTGCTCTCTAGTGGTGGTCCACATGGCCACCGACCCATAGGGGCCCTTTGGCGCCCCTACCCTTGAGGGTCCAGTAAGGACTTACTCTATAGCACCCTGATCCAAAAGGGCTTAATACATAACAGCATAATGTGTCTCTGACATCGACTGCATGACATATATCATATTAATCCAGTGGGGGTGGGGTGCCCAGCCGGCCAGGACCACCATAAATTTGCCCCCAAAAAAAGAGATAAAATATTTAAATTTTAAAGTCTGAATGAGTGCCATTTTTGAGCATCTAGAGGTGCCATTATCATAATTTGCTTTTCCAGTAAGACTATAGGTCCTGGATTAGGCTAGAGATTTTCGACGCCCGTGAGGGGAGGGTGTCTAAAGGAGAAGCATGCTCCACATCAGGAGGAAGTCAGTAATTTTGTCGAGGAACACTGCTTTGAAGCAGCATTTTTACCATCTGAGAGTGCCATTTCCGAGCGTCTAGAGGGCATTCTTAAAATTTGTTCCAAGGGCCACCGACCCTTAGGGTCCTTTCAGTCCCCCTACCCATAGGGTAGTAGAGTGGCACTCGCTCTATAGCACACTGATCCAAAAGGGCTTTGTTGATACATAACAGCAACGTGTCATCGACTGTAGGACATGCCGTATATCATATTAGTAAAATGGGGTGGGTTGCCCAGCCGGCCCGGACACCATACATTTGTAAACATTTTTTTTTTAAATGGAGATAGATTATTTAATTTTTATGTCTGAATTAATGCCATTTCCGGGCATCTAGAGGTGCCATAATCATAATTTGCTTTGCGACTCCCAGTATAGAGTAGACTATACGTCCTTGATTATACCTTTGCGACGCCCGTGAGGAGAGAGTTGTCTAAGGTAGGGGGAGCATAGCTCCCGTCAGCGAAAATAATCGCTGACAATAATTTTGTCAAGAGACACTGCTTTGAAAAAGCATTTTTACCACCTGAGAGTGCCATTTCCGAGCGTCTTAAGGGGCCTTCTTAAAAATTTGTTCACCTCAGCCCTCCGAGCGTCTTAAGGGGCCTTCTTAAAATTTGTTCACCTCAGCCCTAACCATGGCGGGGCTGAGGTGGGTGTGGAATACCTATTGGGCCCCCGTCAGAAAAAGGGGCCTCTTCCCCTTTGAAAAGTAAACAAAAAAGGAAAGAAATAAATAATTGATCGCCCAAAACGCCTCAGACGTTATTTCCGGACCTCTAGAAAACAAAAATATCCCGGGGACATGCCCCTAGGTTAAGTGTTGTCTCTCGATCATCCCTCTCCCATTCGGGCATCTCTGGATCCGTCCCTGACAGAGTTGGAACCATCAAAGCCGAACAGATAGGACTTTCACAAGATATACATCTTCACAAGCAATACCGTGGGACAATATCAGGGTGAATCCACTTTATGCGTAAATTCAAATAACGTGGACCCATTTTCTTAAAAGTTCTCCCATTTTATGCACAAATATGAATAATCTGGACCCATTTTCTTAAAAGTTTACCCATTTTACGCAAAAATATCAGAAATCATGAACCATTTACTTAAAAGTTGACCCATTTTTGTACAAAGTATGAGAAATCTGGACCCATTTTCAAAATGTGCACCCATTCTTTGTGGACCCAATAGAAAAAATTAAATGTGTCCAAAAACCTTTCTAGTACCGAATATTGTGCACAGCTTACATTTCAAATGTTAAATATGTTTTGAGCATTGAATTTGAAACTTCCATACTGTGATAGAGCTAAAAGTTCATGATAAGAAGAATTAGTAGGCCACTGTTTAAAACGTGAAAGAATTATTCTATTCTGGTAACGTATTACTATTCTTTATAATAATGGAAGGGCCGTAATAATCTGAGGCAGATGCAGGGGCTGCAACGATGCGATCGCTTCCCAACCACCCACCCCCCCCCCCTACAAATTGTGCTAAGAAACATTTTTTTCTATTGTATTGTTGATATACCTGTACAATTTTTAAGGTATGAGAGTGCAATTTCCGGGCACATTGAGATCAATATTCTCAAAATGTTCGCACCTCAGCCCCATTTATGGTGGGCCTGAGGTCGTGTGGACTCTCACGCACCCCTACCACCAAATTCTGCATTCCCCCAGCTGATAAAGTTCTACTTTTAACACAATGTTTAACTACTAGGCATATTACTTGTATGCCTACGTACGTTAATACCGTAAAACCTCGAATTGAAGCCCTGGCTTCTATTTTTTGCGAACTTTGGATGGGCTTCTTCTCGAGGCTACTTTTGCAAAGTAACGAGGTGGGGGTGGAGGGTAGGTGGGCTTCTTTTCAAAATGAATGCTGTAAATTTTGTGAATTCGTACTATGAAACAATAAATAAGGTCATTGTAACATCAATCTGTATCATGGAGTGTATTTAACTGGCATTAAATGACCAAAACTACTGTATAAACCAAGCTTGTTTTCAATTTATTTTGTTTTTTTGAAATTCGTGTAGAGTGTATGCACTGTCTCGAAAAAAATCCTATGCTATCTTGAAAAGAAACCCATGGGCTTTTTTCGAGGTCATTTTACAAACTAAAGATGGACTTCATCTCGTGATTAAGTTACATTTAACTTCAAATCGAGGTTTTGAAATCCCATGGTGACAATTATAGTAATGATAAAGCATGAATGGTTAATTGATATTTAGTACAAGTATGACCAGGGAACAGTTAAATTACAAGTTATTTAAATGTTCCCTGGTGTGAATGAGTGGTATAATAAATAGTGTGTGTTTCGATTATGGCAAACGGCACCCAAAAACACAATAATATTGTGTTTTTGTATGATAATATTATTTTGTATGACAATATTATTGTCATACAAGGTCGAATTTCGGTCACAGTCCTTGCGACGTGTATTTGTATTGCATCTCGTGGGTGACTGTTCAGATAAAGGCTATTTTTCAGATGGTCATACCAGGGAGTTGTTATTAGAACAAATAACACCTCCCTGGTCATACTCTGTTGTTAACCTAGCCTTACATTCACCCCTTTTCTCGCATTTCCAATAACTGAATAACTGGTTGCATCTCTCGTTCAGTTGAGGCAAACTCCATGATGAACGAATAGACATATATGATAAAATTTTTAGGCCGCTCAGTTTTTATGTACCAACGAACGGACTGATGGTTCATGAAAGAACAAGCCCCAATATTTTCACATGTTTTCATCTTGTCGGCGAAAGTTTGTTGGCAAATGCACACGTGCAAGCGAACGTTTATAAACGCTTCTTGAATCCCCCTCGTCGGGGAAGCCTAGTACCCCTTCCCCCGTCGAGGAAGACGAGTACATCCCGTCGGGGAATAAAACAAATTAAAACATATTTTTGCATGTTTGTTCGTTTAGCAACCATATCGCCTTCATTGACCTGATTGCTGTCTCTTATACACATCTCCTATTATTTCCGTGTCGGGCAGGTCCTGACGCAATCACTGGGAACAAATAAAATTAGGTTAATTCTGTTACTAACGTTCCATGAAAAATGAATTAAGATCGTTAATAAATAAAACCTACTTGTAAAATAATAAGTGATGTTAAAGACTGTTACTATATCTTTAGCAGTTTATATTGTTCGTAAAATACGTATGGGTAATCCCTTGCTAAACAAGAAGAATAAAAAGAAGAATAGGAAGAAGATGGAAAGGGAGACGAAGGAGAAGAATAACTTTATGATGAATTTAATTATGTTTGCTGATACTTTCTTTATCTAGCTTTATTGTTCAGTCACTATTAAAAGAAAAAAAAATCATCAAAATATTCGAAATCCTATTCTGTCGTTTAAGGTATGCTTTTGTCAGTATACATGTCGCTTTACTTTTGTTTTACTTTACATAATAAATTCTTTGAACTACAACTACATTTATGTGACGTATATATGTTTTCGTGCACCGTCCATATTTTATTTTGACTTATTGAATAGTTATTGTATTACAATATTGTGCAATTTTGTTACATAATTATTATCTATTAATGAATATTTCTTTTTTTAATTGTATGATCATCTATTTTTATGTACATTTCCTTATTATTTTTCCATTTGTCATTTTCTGTATCTAATGTATAAACAAACAAATAATCAATTAGGTTTTTTAATTCAATTTGTATATAGCTAACTTAATTTATTCCTCATTTATTGAATTGTATATACCCATTAATTTATAGATTTGCCTAATTTGTACCGTACATTCAAGCTGTAATTCATCCTGTGCTGCTATATTTTGAATTCTATATGTGAATGAATAAAAGATACCGACCAATTAATTTGTAACGTGTCCTCCACTTGTATATTTTAACTTTACTGTATTTTTTTTGTAATACGTCGTATTCTGGTGCATTTCAAACATTTGAAATATTATTACTTTAAAGTATATTGTACATTTCAATTTTTCCTTAAATTTGCAGTAAAGTCACACCTGGTATCTTGTATCCTGTCTTCCTTTTTATATCAGTTTGTGTACCAATTTAAAAAAAATTGCCCTTTTATATTGCTTTAGTTTTTACAGTCGCTTATGATTTTCTTAGTACTAAAATATTTAATAAAAATATAGATGAACATGTGATTTATTATAGGCCTGTATTAATATTTTTTGGCAGAATCTTGTATTGCATGATTAATTTATTGAAAGTGTATCTGCATGTATGGATATCTATAAATAACGACTTTCCATGACGACTACCCAGTCCTCCACAAAACAAAACATCTGTCGAAGAAACATCAATCACAACATAACGAAAATAAATTGTCGGCGAAATGTCTGTCGGAGAATTGGTTGTCGGCGAATTGGCTGTCGGCGAATTGTCCAGTCGGCGAATTCCGGTGTCGGTGAATTTTCTTTCGGTCAACTGTCTGTCGGCTAAACGTCCATCGGCAAACTGACATTCGACGAAATATCCTAGTACCCAATTCGTGTATTTGTTCTAAGCTACATTCCATGAACATATTACTAACACCACCACTAACATTATTGTTGTATGCTAAATATACACAAAACACACAAAAAACATCATCTTATGATGTTGGCTAATATTTTTATGTTTTAAGCCCTATGCGATCGAGAGACAACACTACCCAAGGGGGTCCGGGGTATGCCCCGGCGAAAGTTGTTTTGTAGACGCCGAAAGTAACCTCTGAGGCGTTTTGGGCGATCAGTAATTTCTTTTAATTTTTTAATTTTTTTTTTTAATTTTTTTTTCTTTACTTTCCAAAAGGAGGGCCCGGGTCCTTGGTATCTAAATAGAGAGAGTCTTTAATTGGAGGAACAGCTAATGTTAAAAGATAGGAATTCTTTAATAGGAAGGGTCTTTAAATTGAGAAAGATCGTAGTTTAAATAAACACATAGTCATGTTTAAGTAGACATCGCATATCGTGATTTGTTGAACTTTCTTTTTACCTTTTGATGATCTTGATTTTTTTAATCGATTAGATTGCTGAATACAACTAAATGTACTAAACTATAGCAAAATTGAGCCCTCTGGTTTGGGTGCATTTTCTTCGTGTTTTCTGTTTTAATCAAACCGCAACCACGGCTTACACGATGATGATGATGTAAATTGTAACACTTTAAGCAGTATGTTGATGTAAAATAAAAGCAATGAATGTAGGCCTAGAATGGCAATATCTTACGTCAGACAACAACTTTGTAGGGCATCTGGCAAAAAAAAATGAAGATCAATTCACTCACATTGTTTTTTTTTTTATTTGTAAAGAAAAAAAGTGTTTTTATTTTGCCACCCCTTTTTTTCGTTGAGTTAGGGGCGGATGAGAAAGGCAAACATTTTTTTAGACATAATGTTCAATTTATTGTGTAAGTGCAAGTATGAATGATGGAACCAAGCTAGATGAGTCACCCTCTTCAAAAGTCATTTTAATAATCTTGTTCTACTTCTTCCACTAGCCGATTCATGGGGGCCAAGCCGGCCCGACCTCCCCCACCCTAAATAATTCAAAATTATAAAAAAAAAAAATTGTGAAAAAAAAAAATAATCCAAATTTAGGTCTGAGAGTGCCATTTCCGGCCATATAGAGGTGCACTAATCATATATTTTCATGCTTCAGCAACACCCATGGTGGGGCTGAGGTGATTCCAGACCCTCCATTTGTGAAACTCCTTCCGTGGGCCCCCTCTATTTCAAATTCCTGGCCCTCCGCCACTATCTTCGTCACAAGCTGGACACACATCCGGCACTGGTGGTCGTCGGCTGATGTAATTCCTGAACAAGGGCGATCTCCGCTCAGACTGACATCGACAACCAGCAGAAGACGTTGCGTCGTCAAGTGTAGATGGATTCGTCGGACTACGGTCGTAAGCAGTACCGGCTTTATTCCACATATCGAGTGTTCTCTGTCTTAAAACATTTCCTTAATACCATTATTCTAAGTTTGCCTATTAACCAGATTAAAACATGACATATAACAACACCGGTAAGCACTCCAACGACGATAAGTACTGCAAACCCAGGGTCTGTATTATAATCAATTATCGGATAGATAACAGTACAATCCACCGCCCAAAATACAAGGGTGAACACTACATAGATTATTACGTAAGCCAGTGGGTAGACCATGTGAAGCAAACGCACCGGTGTAGCAGACAAAAACGTTTCGACGATCATCAATAAACTCGTGAACGCGTGAACATTCAGGTCCGTAAACAGAGCTAGATCTACACCAAGGCTATAAAGTGCTCCCCAGTAAATTAACGACACGAGTATCGAACCACTTGCTGCCATGTAGTAGAGAACCCACTGCAATTTGTAAACGAATGATAACGTGTTCTCAACACTGGAAGACGAACCTGACGAGATGACGTCATCTACAAAAATAAATTTGATAATTAATTTATTACTTGAAAAATATTTTGAGAAGGTATACCTTTTTAACATTAGGGCTGTGGTTAGTAAGGCTCGTATACTAACAATCAGTGGCGTAACGACGAGTCATGGGGCCTGGAGGAAAGAAAATATTGTGGGGGTGGGGGAAGGAGCCCGTGTAAGTAAAATATTTTCGCCCACGAAGTGCCTTATGGATAGTGTCACAAATAAAAAATGAAGACTGAAAAGATTATCAACTATTTATTATTCAACCATAATCAACGTTTATTTTCACACACAAATCGGCAATTGTGCATCATCATTCATTTGATATTTTTTGGTATTTGATATTGGTCGAAGTCTCTTTGAAGCTCCATCAATCATTTTATTTATATTTATTTACAATGCACTATTCAAGCAGTAAAAAGGTGGACCAACACTGGGTTGAGGCTAAGATTTGTGGCCTTGAAAAAAGAGGCATTGATGTGCAACAAGGAAAAAGACAAATGTTTGCAACGTATCTAGCCTATCAGGATAGGTCTATTACGCTTAATGTGTCACATACAATAACATAGCAAGTAAAATATAGTGATTTCAATATGCTCCTGACTATTTACACGCACTGGATATTTTCATACAAGAGAAAAATTAATTATGGGAAAAAAAAAGTGAAATGATAAATAACTCAAAATTTATACGGGTATGTAGAACAATTTTGTACCAAGGCCTAGACAAATACAATACCAGCAAACAATTAAACTCACATATCAACAAGACTCATTTTCTTGTTTAATTTATATTGGAAAAGAACTAGATATTATTTGATTGTTTACAAAACTAGATTCAAGGAGCCTTCCTTTATTATTCTGTGTTTACGAAACTATAAATAAGTACGACATAACAGAGACAGAATCGTGTAGGGCCCTATTTCACTTTGATATTTTATCAAAACATAATTATGGAAATCCTTTCATATCTTCGTAATGGTTAAACGTACCTACGTCACAACGATGCCTCCGTATTAGGAATTTTGCACTATTGGAAGATGCTACTACCAGATAAACAGTGACCAGGATGACGGTCCAATTGGTCAAGTAAATAAAATAAGTCCAGTCATATTCCTCCGCTATCGTCCATGCAGTAATCACAATGAAGTAGAGGGTTACAACAAACCGGTAGATGCTGAAGACATACGGATTCAGACCTGGGAACTAACTTCAAATACTTCTAAAATTATATCCTGGCCATAAATATTTAATTAATGTGAGAAAAAAATGTACAAATAAGATAAAATGCTCTGTCTAATTATCTAAATCTAATTATTTGTCACTTTACATTCTTCATTTTGATGTGGTTGTATGGTTTACTGATGCAAACCTATTAATAAACTCATCAACATTAATATAATAATCTAAAATGTCATTTTGTAACTTAAGTTAGCTGAACTGGGATCACTGCTTATATAGGGGGAAGTGGCGTATTTGGTGCACCCTAGAAAAATATCAAGCCCCAATTGAAATCAAACACAAAATCTAAATAGATGAGCCCAGGGAGGGATTTTCACAGATAGAGGATCATCCCCTGCACACGATGAATAGACGATGTTTGTGAAAAAAAAGTAGGGACAGGGCTTCATTTTCTTGTCTAGTATTGTTAGAAATTTGTTCCGTGATAATCACCCATGAAATGCCCCTTAGTTCCGCCTGTGGTCGTCCCCTATCTGGTTGGAATTTGCTTTGCTGAGGTAAGACATTTTATGATTAAAGGCACCTTTATGGCCGGAAATGGCCCTATCAGACTTAAATTCAATTTTCTTTTTTTCTCCATTAATTTTTTTAATTTTGAAAAATTTAGGTGACTGGGCGGGCCGGCTTCATCCTCCCTTGAATCCGTCACTGGAATTTTTGCCAAGCAGAATAAAACGGCACCCACCTGTGATTTAGTGAACTCTGTCCCTCGTTGACTAGTCGTGAGTCCCAGCGAAGAATACAAATACTTTTTACACATGCTTTCAGCGTTGTTGATGCATAGTTGACGCCAAAAGAATTACATAAACTTTTGAACGATTAGGTATATGAAGCATCAACGACTCATCAGTAACCGTTAGAATAAATAAAGTTAGATCAGCTCGTCTTGTACACGGTAAAATAATCGTTTTGTGAAAACCGTGCAGGTGAAAGAACAGGTAGCGAAGCATATAGAGGGCGCAATTAAGAGAGGCGCTAAGTTATAGGTACGTTGACATAGCATAAATTAATTCAATTAAATTCAATATAAAACACATGTTTTTAATTTCATTCATTAAGCACTCTTCTTCATAAAGAAACTACATTTTCCTTCACTGTATGTGCCGTACTTATTATCGAGTAGGCCCTATACTTTATTTAGAATAGAATAGGAGCTATAGCTTACATTCTTGTTTATAGACTTTCTCCCTTCCTATATAATGCCCTTCCCCGTAGGTGTGAAGGCGATGGCACGCCTATCAAACTGCACTGAGTAGTCCAGACAGGGTCTGTCAGTTCAACTTAGGATCAGATATTGGCCAGGGTACCCCACTACATATTGCAGGGGTTTAAGATTAGATTAGTGCTGGGGTTTACCATATCTCCCATTCTGACAGCATTGAGTTGTTTTTCTCACGTCTTGAAAATAATTTATCTTCTGGAATATAAGCTGGAAGTACAGCCCTCTATGAATAGGCCCTACACATTTTATAAGAACCAGTACAATTTTGCCCAGTCTTAGTATTTATATTTTTTGCCAATTTCAGGCTCAAAATGTTCTTACTTTGTTCTTACTTTTAAACAATACAATACGTATTACGGCACTGCACTGTATTATAGACTATATTACATAGTCACGTCTACTGCAAATAGGGTACAGATAATATTTGTTGGTTTTCTTTTTTTTTTTTAACGAAAACCTCTTTTGACATTTTACCCCAGCCTCAATTTTTTCTTATTTTCTTCTTAATTTTTAAGCAATTTCAGCCGCCTCAGTGTTCTTATAAAATGTTCTTATAAAAAAAGTGTATAGTATAAAAATTAGATTATTGGATAGAATACGGACCCAATCTACAATTGCACAAAATACTAAAAACATTTAAAATAAAATCAGTTCAACCATTTGGACAACCAAGATACACCAAATAGCGATAATAATTAACTTTCTTGTCGTCTGCCAATTTAAACTCAGTACCGTAGTAAAAACACGAACGCCCGGCCAGCTAAGAAAAGAAACTTTAAAACGCAACACAATGATAAAGTTACCATGTTATACAGATACGTCATTATATGATCGGAATTTTATTTTACATAGATGTTACTACAAGTTATTTTAAATCTCGGCCTATATACACAAAACCAAAACATAATATAATATAAACATAAAGAATGCATAATTATACAGTAATGTATACTAAGGAACAAACATTTGTGACGATTTACCGTCCAGATGCGTGCGCAGAACTGGAAGAAATTAATCGTAGCACCATTCCTTTAGGTGGTTTTTTTTTTTGTGGCCAGTAGAATATTGCAAAACAAAATTACACTAACATGAATCTACAAAATACGGTACTGGACGAGGGCATGTCACGCTACAAAATCATTTGATAAGAATAATTTTTAGGCTAATGCTATATTATTTCTGGCGTTCAAGTCTCTCAAAGAATGGGAATGGTGACAAGAGAGAAGACGATGAAGTCATTAAAACTTATGTTATTTATCCAAGAGTGTCCTTTTTCTTTCTGCACCCTCTCCTACATATACCCGGACCCGCCCCGGAATACCTCACAGCCTCGCAGGTAATAGTCGCGAGTAATAATAAGAAATATAATACATATAAACTAATTCGTTTAAGGCCATTGAGTAGATTTACTTTCTAAGCCTGCTTAATTTTTAGGCCTGCTTAATTCTTAGGCCTGCTTCTCTTGTGATCAAAAGTTAATGTACAGCTGCAGGACCGTGTGATGTACAGTAATACAATACTTCATACTGAACTAACTAAACCGTAGTTTCATCAGCAGATCGTTCGTTCGCGTTGTTGGTTCTCAATAATTTTCCTGCTAATTTCAATCTTAAAATAAACATTACCCATAATACTACCTGGAAAACAAAAATACCAATGATACAACCAACGATGCTTAACACAGCCTTACCAGGGTCGTTTTCGTAGTCAATTATCGGATAAATATATGAATGACCATATTTACCGGTACCGCCTGCCACCCAGTATATGATGGTAAAAAATACGTAGACAACTCCGTAACAGAGGGGGTATACTACATGAATGAAACGGAACGGTGTAGCAGACAGCATCGTTTCGCTAATAGCGACAAATGACGTAAGGGTATGTACGTTTAGATTTATGAAGAGGTGTATGAAATCTAAATTTCCTTTGGAATACAGAGCCGTCCAATAAACCACCGTTACGATAATCGACATGTTTGCTGCTAGGTAATAAAGGAACCACTGTAATTTGTAAATAAACGGCAGATCGGGTATATCAGCAGAGGATGATACAAGAATGGTACCTGTGGAAAAAAAGATAAAACCAATAATGATAATGACCATGGTGACATCGACGCACAGTGGGCCAGGGCGAAATTAAAGTGTGCCAAAAGTCCATTTTGGTGACTATGGCTTTTACACTTTTTTTCACATGATTGAAGATGTGTATACCCTCGTGAATCTATCCTGAAAATATTTTACATTTAAACGAATTTTAAGGGTAGTATTTTTCAACAAATGTCGGAAATTTCTCTATAAATATTTCAAATACTATAATTGACTACATTATATCTAAACACGTTTTTTTTCTTACAGAAAATTCGGAATTACTTCAAAATGCACAGGTTTCTTGTATATAAATTGGGGAACACAAATATATGTTTTGGTTTAAATTTGAAGTTTGCATCAATAATAAATCGTTTTCGAACATTTGAGACACAATTTAATTAGAGCAAACCGCAAATCAGAGGGATGCACGCGCGTCTATTCAACCAGTTCATGCAAAGCGTGGGAAAAGCACTTCAAAAATTGACAAACTGCTCGTGATTTAACAGTAGCAAATCTTTAATATTTTGTTGCTGTTTAGAATACTTTATTAAATTTTGAGCAGTCTAATAATCCAAATATCATATATCACAATGAAGATGATATCTACAAGCAGGCCTATATCTAGGCGTCAATTGTTTTTAACTTTATTCAAACACATCCAAGACTTTGAAAAGCTTCCTGTTTCAACTTAAGGAGAGGTGAGCTACTACGCGAGTACTAACGACCTTCCCAGCAAACAATAATACGTTATACAGTTTTGTTTTGAAAACTTTATTTTGTAGAACCATAAATACATACTGAACATAATTTCACAACGTTTGCACGTTCCTACAACGTTGTGTAAACGTTATTTTGTGACATACCTAACCACAACATTCGCCAAGAACGTTATAAGAACGTAAACACGTGTTTTCCGGGTTTCTAAAGAAAAAAACTCGTGGCTTGACAACAGGATTCCATTTTCTGATGAAGTTATTAATGTTTTGACACAGAACAGAGATATTCTTTCCACACCAGCAGAAAACCCACAAGAGACTTAAAACAGACCCAAACCGGGACGTCCTATCGAAGTATGGGGGGAATCTTTTCAGAGAGTTCGCACAAGGGTAAAGTACAAGAGATGTTGACATAAAATGTACGCACTGAACTTCTTTATGCAGCATTGCAAGGGGCATTCAAGAAGAATCGATTTTAGAGTCTACTAATATGTAGAAAATACATACACATTTTATTTCTCCCTGACGAATTGTAGTTTATCTCCCCAACGGGTGGGGGATGGGGAAGCTTTCCTCGACGGGGACCTCTCCTCGACGGGGACCCTGCCCCATTCCCCCTGCTGGCGTCACCCCTGAGGCGCAAACCGGAATCGTTCACGACAGATGAAACATTGTCGTTCTTTGTGACGGTTGTTAAAGCGACGCCGTCTGCTGCATGTCGGTGGTTGTGTAGATCATCATTAAAGACGATTTGGTGCGTGCGCCTCGTCGCGTTGCGTTCTGTATGGAATCGCTTACGCCAGCAAACATCCACAGAGTATGTGCCCGGTGTTACCGTCGCACAGTGGGCCAGATTGAAGTCAAAACGTGCCAAAATTAATTACTCATTACAGAAGCTAATCTGAGCGAATACAAGACTTATCTAGAGGTTTTCATACCCGTAGAATTCCCCAACTGTACTCCTACAACCGTAATAAAACGCTATGTGTGCCCATCTGAATAGTAAAGGGCGTCGGAAGCGATCCAGCAGTGGTCAAGCGTCGCTTAAAAGACCTCGAAGGCGGTCCAGGGTACGAAGCCCCGAAAATGTTGACAATTTAGGGATTTCAAAGTCTTATTTAATCGATTTTTAGAGTTTAGAAAATACATATAATTTTTTCCCCCTTAGTATTGTGGTTTTTCTCCCCGACGGGGGTGGGGGGAATGGGGGTGTCCCCAGGTCCCCTGCTGGCGCCACCCCTGAAGCTGTCTCAATTTTAGGATGTTTTTTTTTACCTGAATGGATGTAATATAATATAATTAATGAAGTACTGGTAAAGGGTATTTTATATTACGCCTTTCCCTTGTGGTTATGAAGCGCACGCCAACCCTCAATAATTTATAAAAACAATGGTCGACATAAAATTAGTCATTATTCAGGAACCCCCTAATAGTACAGTCTCACAACAATAACAAACCAAATAATACAGATTACAACTTTGAACAAGTATAATGGAGTGTTATCTAATTAGTAAAAAATCTATCCAAATGTTCCATATGTCATTTATACGGATCAAATAAGTTATCAACTACAACGTAAAAAAAAAAAAAAAAAAAAAAAAAAAACTTCAAACATAACTTGCACATTCAGCCTATTGAAAATATGGAACAAATTTGAAATTATTTAATTTTTACTGTAGTTAAGTATCAGTAGCTTAGGCTTATTTATCATGATTTGATTCACCACGTAATCTTCCGACCCCGAAACCAGACTCACAAATACCGGGATGATGTCCGGTGCTGGATAATTTTACCTTTAGATTACTAGAAGATTAGATTAATTCCAGTAAAACATTTTACTTGTACTAGCAATATTTTATTCCTGATAGATGGGTTTCCATGGTGGGAGGGGTCATGAGAAGAAAGCTAGCTTGTTTTGTCGCTGGAAGACAAATTTTAGATAAGGGGTGGGGGAGTCTACGGCTTCTCCTTCGAAAAGTTTTTGTTTTCTAGATGCTTTGAAATACACTTCGTGCATATGAGACGTCTATTATTGAAATACACTCTGAATTCATAGTTTTTCCCTACTTTGCTATGGACAATTAATAATTATGATGATGAAGAAGATAATGATGAGGAGGAGGAAGCTGTGCAAGAATTATTAACAGGCCCTTTGATGTGAAGTGTCAAGCGAAGTCCATAGCCTAAGTTACGATTGGGAATTTCGAGACATTATCGTCGTCGTCAAACGTTCAATGCACACAGTCGGGCAATAGATGATTTATGATATCTGTTCTGTATAGAAAGTATCAGTTCAGGCATTCATTCATTTATCTGTCTGTGGAAAATATAACATATGAATCATACAAAATAAAAAGATTTCAAATAAAATAGAAATATGTAAAAAATATCTACACTAAATCAAAATGGAATATTCACTGTCTGTTGGATCCCAGTTTTAGTATTGTAGGGGTTACAGTATAACCAGCCCCCGTATTTCTGATAGATTGCTGATTAAAATGTAAAATATTTAAGATTTTATATTCAGTAGGCCTACATTCTCAAATGTTATGTAAATCTCATGTATCCCAAAATTACGTTATATTCATGCACCGAAGTAGAAAGTTCAACTTAATAATTTTAATATGTTTTATGTTTTTTGTTGAATGGTTTTTAATGACATTACAGTCTAATATGACTACAAAATAAGGAAGTCCTCTCCTTTAATCTTCTAAACTTTGCGTATCTAAATATACATATATATTTCCTCAAATCAAGGAAGTCCACTCGTTAAATTAGTATATATATAGAGAATTTTGTCTGTTGATCTCAGATATCCAAATTTTAGGAAATTACCGTACGTTTTATGCATACACCGACATGAGAACTTTAACCTAATAACTTTGATATGTATAACTGGACTTATGTTGTGGTCATATTAGACTGTAATATTATTATTAAAGAAGTCCATTTAACCAACAACATAAAATATATGTTTTATGTTGTTTGTTGAATGGACTTTTTAAATAATAATACTACAGTCTAGTATGACCACAATATAAGGAAGTCCACTCTGTAAATTTTTAGCATAATATTGTACAGAATATTTCGATTGTTTTTCAATATCATTTATACACGTTAGATTCAAATCACGTTTTATGCAAGCACCGACGAGGAAAGATTAAACATAATCATTTTGATATGTACATGTTTTATGTTATGTGTTGATTGGTCTTAGTTAATAATATTACAGTTAATTGGTTTAATGGCCCCGGAACCCTGAACCATTGGCGGCCCCCTAGCCCCAATCATCAGTGCTCGCGCTTCGCTCGCAACCTGACCACTTCAATTCTCGTGGCTACGGCCCTGCTATCGGGTCAGTAAAAATCTTCTCCGTAAATGTAAAGTTGTCTTGCGTACCGGTAATACCAGCAAGAATACGATGCCCAGTAAGGACATAAGCCTGGTTCTCACGAGAGCCCTAGTATCCGGATCGGGAGCTAACCGTTAGCGCTAACCGTTAGCACCTCCGTGAGAACACCCGATCGGTTAGCGCTAACCGTTAGCAGTATCCGGATATCGCTAACGGTTAGCAAGCGCTATCGGTTAGCAAGTTGAGAGCGTTTTTATCATCAACCAATCACACGTACGCGTTTACAATTTCCAGTTTCTTATTGGCCAGTGATTCGATCATCATATTTTTGGAATCCGGATCGGGACTTTCTCGCATGGACGCACGGCAGCTAACGGTTAGCAGGATCCGGATCCTGCTAGAACATAGCCATAGTTTATTAAAAAAAGGTTTTCCATCGGGACCACCAACCCCACCCCCTTCGCCATGGGCAAGGTGAGGGGTGGGGTGGGGATCGTCGCATTTGGCCGGACCAATACAAATTGCTTTCGACGCGCCTGAATAGTAACAGTGACGATGACAATAAATAAGCCTATAATTAAATATATTCATTCAACTTCATCGAACAATAAGTAAATGAATAATAATTATTGTAAAGAATAACAATGAGTGATAAATAACTGGAATTGGACTACATTAGTGCCATTTATTCTCCGTAGTGTGTACAAACGCGGTTCGAATAACGAGTTCTGTAGGCCTATATTAATTTTGAATTCACATTCATTATAGGCCTATATTAACTTCCGAGACTCCTTATCCTTCCTTAATAGTGGTCACAAAAGACTAAATTTAAAAATCAGTAGTACAGTAATAATTACAAACCTCGCCGTGTCACATTTCGATAATGTACTAAGCTGTTGTAAGAGGCAACTAGAAGATAACACGTCACTACGATGAATGTCCAGTTGGTCAAATAGATAAAGATTTTCCAACCAAGATTGGTTACTGAATAAGGAAAATACCAGAGAGTGAAACCAGCGAAATAGATAGCAACCATGAACCGATAGATGGTGAAAATATGCGGGTTGAGGCCTGGGAACTGAATAAAAATAGATAAATGTCATTCAGGCGATTGTACTGTGAAAAATAATGCTATCGTTATTGATCATGACTCATTCATTCATTTATTTGGTCAATATCAACATATACAAGGAAAAAACAAATTAAACCACTTAAAAAACCATTTAAAACAGTAATTCAAAAGATTTTTTTACATGATATACTTCTAGGCCAAATATAATATGCAAATTAAACAAATAGATGTGTCTATAAACTATACCAGCTGTTATAATTTCTAGGACAAAATCAAAACAATCATTAAAATGGTAATTAAGATAGTTTAGTTCTGTTTTGTTTTTGCCGCACGACGCAGTGAGTGCCAGGGATAAGGTGTACACAGATAGAACTGTGCTGATTATTAGTGGGGCTGCCTTAACCCTGTCGCCTTTACCTTTCTTTATGTACGCCGTATGTCGGAAGAATAAATATTTCCTTATTGCATGTATAGGCCTATCATAAAGTAGGAGGAGAAATGTAAAATGATCTCTATTCTTCATCCGTTCAGGAGCAAACTTCATCGTTGAATTCAATGCCGTAGAGCCAGGATTTTCAAACAGTGCGGGACAATATCAGAACGGACTTACTTTAAGCTTATTAATTCAAATAATGTGACCCATTTTCTTAAAAAGTTTACCCATTTTACGCAAAAATATGAAAAATCTGGACCCATTTTCTTCATTTTTTTCTCATATCAGGCTAAATATGAGAAATCCGGACCCATTTCAAAAGGTACACTCATTTTATACATGAAATTACATAATTTGCACCCATTATTTGAAAATATGGACCCATTCTTCGTGGACACATTATAAAAATTGCGCGGGACTGTCCCAACAACTATCCCAATAGCTGGCTATGGCATTATTTGAATTTATTGCTCCACTGGCTCTAGCTTGACTTAATTTGCATGCACGGGTTGTGGTCTAGACCTAACATGTGTATTTACATAAGCAATTTTATTATATTTATCCTAAAGTGTGACTAATCAGACAGACCTCTACTATATTACACTTGATAGGGATATGAAAAGAAACAAAACCAGCAGGAAGATTGAGGGACCCACAGCCAATGAGTGTTGTTGGACCGTAATGTCGGCGCTGTAAATTAAATACTCAATGAAAGCTCTCATAGTTCATAATAGTGTTTTAAGCTTAAATGTTTCTAGCAATGAATTTTAAGCTTACGAATTTTGTGTATTGGGAACATCAGGAATGCAAATACCAGTACCGGTATTGTATTCATGGAGTGAAAATAAAAATGATCGATTATTGTGCAACAATCTAAGTTTAAACATTAAAACCTTTTAAAATTATTGGTTATTGCGTACAGTACAACCGATACGTAAGCAAGGTTATTGTCAAGCTCTTGAGGTTATGATTGTGCCGGGTGCTTTTAACGCGATATTCGTTGCATTTCTAGTATATTCTTGTAGGGCCTATCCAGCATTCTCATTGAGTCAGTCAACTGCATCTGACTTTGTCAAAAGACATTAGATTATTCTGAGTCTTGAATGGAAGGGTTGGGTAGGGTTGGGTTGGCGTGGGGGGGGGGGGGTTAATAAAGTTCTCGTGTATTGCTTTAATATTCATCCAAAAATGTTTTCAAGCATTGGGCACGATTACACCAATACTAGGCCCACATGTATGCAAAAATGTATAAGTTCAGACGAATTTGATGACTCCGCATCACATACGCGCAGACGCACATACAAGGCCTTCCAATTGCTTACACTACAGCATAAGATCCAATATAATAGTTAAAAAAATACTAATATTACTACTGAAAATAATAATGTAGTAATATTAATACAATAAATAATAATTTTAAAACAAAATGTATTTACAAAAAGGATCGACGTTTCGTGTCCAAGTGAACAAAAAATAAACATATGATATGAATAAACATATATAATAAAAATAAACATATGATATGAATAAACATATATAATAAAAATAAACATATGATATGAATAAACATATATAATAAAAATAAACATATGATGTTCACTTGATCTTGAAAATGCGTCCTTGATGGACACGAAATGTCGATCTTTTTTTTGTCAATAAATTTTGTTTTAAAGTTATATAATAAACGGCTGTTAATTCGTAATAATAATAACGTTGTATTATATAGCAGAATATACAATACCACAGTTACAAAACTATTACAAGTAACTGCAGTGGTACTGCGTAGTCTCCAAAAGATTTCCATCTGCTGAACAATTTCAGTGGCAAATAAACAGGTTTGGCCTACACATTTACCCCCCGGCGCCACAGTCTTCCAGGTGTCCAGCGAGAATGATGCAAAAACAGTCTTATTTTAGTAATAAAAAAATATAGATTATGTGTTGGTGTCTAATGTGGTGGACTACGAGAGTTGCTGGTACCGGGTTCCCGGGTAGTACAGACACGAAGGGACCCTTAGGGGCGAAGAAAGTCATTGATCGAGTTCCTAGTCCACATTTCAAGCGCCCTGAGCATCTTACATTAGATGGATTTGTGCGCTATATAAAACTATTATTATTATTATTATTATTATTAATGTAGGCCTACTATGTTAAGTGATTGTCTTTTAATGTTTCCTTTTAGAAAATATACGCTTAAATCATATTGTGTTATTCACGTTACATAGCCACTGTGACTTTTATCAATCGAATGTTTATTTAGAACATGTTTATGGTAAACCTATAAAAATTGCGCCTACAGCAATGCGTCTACCATCTACGGATTAGACCTATACGTTACATTATAAATGTCAGGTGGGGATTTAGGACACAAAGGGATTTTCTCACCTGTGAAGTTACAAATAGTCGCTTTTCAGACTGAAGTCCCAAGTGAAAACAGCTTATTCCACAGCCTTCCAACATCTCGACCAACGCTAAACCTGGACACGTCTCACGTCGCTCTTTCGCGCGCAGTGTCCTTTCGAGTTTAAAAGTAAGACAAATCACACATGTATTATAAACAGATTGTTTTATTACTCGAAATAGTTCGTAGAGCGCTGTTTGCACGCCCTTACAATACCAATCAGTAATGACGTATTAGGTAACCCATATAGTGGATAACAATGATATTTGATCAATAAAATCTGTAAACCGCCCTCTTGAAATATGGTTTTTAAAGTCCATCCAAAATAACATATTTTAGTTGCTTTTAAAATGACATAAAACAATAAAGAATTATATAATAAACATATCGATGACTTTCCTTTAATTTTTAGATAACGCGTTTTTCTGAAAAACGAGTTTTAAATCACCTATTTTTATGAATTCTGTATCGCTAAGCTCCACCTTCTGAATCTGACCCGCATTTGACCTTTACTGGATATGACATACCTCGGTACAACATAACAAAGTTAGTACTGTAGTAGGGTTGGTATCCGATCATTTCGGTCGCGCCTTTATTTCGGTCGCGGTGTATGGCGCGCCGACGGTGCGACCGCAAATTTAGAACAAGGTAGCTAAGCAGTATAGTATTTTTGACTAACAATTATTTGTATTACTGTACTATAATATTATAGTTTTTTGATTATTAATATTACGTGTATCACTTGGTGTTATTTTTCTTTCTTTACAGAAACAACGAAAATGTTACAAATTCGACTTGGTTTGAGACAAGTTTCTTTTTAACGTTTGTTGCGATATATATTTTCTTAATGCATAAATGGAATGGAGATTTATGGAATAAAATTATGTAGTCAATAGATTAGTTTTTCATACATTTGTTTTCTTGTCTGTTACGTTTCCATTTACTATATCTTGAATGTTCTGATCATGTTTATGATTTGATAAATGAACATACTGAATGATATATGATGAATGAAAATGAAGGAAATATATAGTACTTTCATATTTATTTTCCACATAAAATTTTTCAATATATTTATAATTAAACACCGTACATTTTAATGGCCCATTTCAGGCTTCTTTTATATTCATAAGCCCGACAAAATGACACTTTCTAGTCCTATTCTGTAGTTGCGCTAGAATTTAATTTCCCACCAACTAGATTTCCATGGTACTCTTGAGGTGAAGCAGCACAAGGTTTGTATTTTCTTTTATTTCCATTTTTTATACGTACATATCCTGAAACCGAAAGGTCCACTGATTAATCTCAGATAAGAAAGTATAATACATACTCCAAGTATTGAAATACACGCCATCGTGTTGGGATTCAATATTTCGACATTAATTATGTCATCATCAGGAATGATGATATCCTGATATTTATAAAATACATAGTAAAGTGCAGTTTTAATATATAATTTTAAATACATGTTAATAGCCATTCCACGGTTTCGGTCTTTAGGGCGGGCTTCCTTCTAAAGCTAGAAAAATTCACTACCTCGAGGCCTCCTGTACTAGTTGCCTGGTAACTAACCATAAAATAATCGGAAAGAAAATTTCCCACAACCAAGGTTCCCACGGTGCTCATGAGTGTGAGAAGGCCTATTCTTTGTACGCCGCCTTCAGGAATGTGAACGCATTACACTGCAAAAGACAGAAGTAGGTCAGATGCTAAATATAGATGACTAGCTATTTTTAGCAGGTACGTCATGGCAGTGGCAGTGAAGGTTTTTTAAGTGCGTTCAGATCACCTACTTCATGTCACCATTATCTTCGTGACAATAACAAAAAAAATACAAAGAATATTAGGCCTATGATAGTCAAGCATCGTAAAAAAAAGACAAAATAAATAAAATTAATACCCAGTCTGAAACACACGCACCAAAAAAACTTTAAAAATACACAACCATTTAAAAATTACTTTCCAAACAAAAAGCACTAGTGCGTACATCGGCGTTCCATACTGAGGCTGTTTACCGCGACCGAAATGCATAAGGCCAAGTAAAAAAAAAAAACATGTTTCACGTCCGGCTTTTTTTTTAAATTGAGGAAGCGGCCTTTTTTATTTTTTATTTTTTATTTTTCAAAATGGCCGCCATTCTACAGACTTGTTGACATTTTCATTGTTACTGTATACAATCGGAATGTTCCCGATGTTACGTCTCAGACGTCTTCACATGAAACTCTAGAGATATCGGGCTAGCCTAGGTAGAGATATTGGGCTAGCCTAGGCATAGCTTTACTATACGAAAGGTTAGACGAAGATATTGCACTATTTTAGGCTAGGGTATTTATTTTCCAACATTTAATTCTAAATTTTCTATATATTTTTTCTTTATTTTCATGAATTTTCCAAAAATAAAAAATAAAAAAAAAAATCAAGGCGGGCGAAAAAAACGATGCGGGCGGGGACGCGAAACATGTTTTTTTTTTTTACTTGGCCTAACAATACGGCGCGACCGAAATGAAGGCTCGACTAAAATGATCTGTATTCGTAGGATTCACGGGTTTACGATATTGTCAGAGTAAGGCCTATGGTAATCATACGCTGGAAATTCGGAGAGTAATTATTAATAATAAACATTCAAAACATACCAGCAGCCGCCCTAGAAATTAGCGTCGGCATCACGTTATGAACACAATGTATGAGCGAGAATGCGAGAGGCCTAGGCCTAGATAGCTAGGTCCTATTCTCTGCATCCACCCCATACCACGGAGCCCGTGCTCGCTACATACAGCAAATGTGTTTGAATAAAACATTTAAACTATTTGTTTTGACTTACTTTATTCGTGATGATTAATTATCTTACACAAAATACACGCATATTATCTGTATATGATAATATGTTTATGACCCGACGAGATTGTTTATTTTTTGCTAGAATACGTCGTATGGTGGATCACGTGCTCTCTACAACGTCGTTTTTCTCGATGTTCTTCGCTCGATCGGGGCCGCTCGACACAAATTTGTTTTGACTTTAGTGATGATTATGGGTTTAATTACAGTATCTTACAAAAAATATATACATGTATATTTTATGCTATATTATGACGGACGAGGTTGCTTCAAAGCATACTTTGTTCGTAGGGCGGATCACTTGTAACTCTACAACGTGGTCTTTCCTCAGATGTTCTTCGCCGACGCTCGATCGGGGCCGGCTCGACCCGATTCAACGGTGTTTTGGACGTTTTTTGACGACGTTGATAAAGTGTTTGAATGAAATTAAAATTTTATCTTTTTTTTTTTTTTTGCTGTGATGATTTATCCGACAATAAAATACAGGGTTAAGCCTAGATGCTGTTTTGATTTTTGTGATACTGTGCTAGTTTTAGGAGGGAATTGCTGCATGTTTTCGACGTAGGCCATGCACAGTACAACGTCGTCCTCAAGTTGTACAGTATTATAGGAAATACTTTTTATACGCCTGTTTCTTAACAGACGGGAAACGGGCCAAGAAGTTTATTCTAGCCAGCGAGAAAAAAATAAAATTATAAAAAAATTGCTAACTTAAACTAAATTAATACCATTCGATGAATACTTTTTTTCGATAAAGTGAAAACTAACGCAACACTGGGCCATTTTGAAGTAGGGTGACCTCCCCCTCCCCACTCATATTCAAACATTTATAGTAGACCCGAGATTTTAGAGGAGATGTGTTTTAGACATTTGGATACATTTATTTGACTGATTGGGCTGTTTCAATTTATATTGTTGTTGTGTTACTGGTACGGTATTTGATTATTCTTGGTGGTGTTTGAAATATAGAAATAGACCTATACATATTTGTTAGAAATTGAACAGCTCCAGTGACTGCTGATTCAAATGAAAATTCCAAATTGTTTGTTTTTTTTTTTTTTTATTTCCACACAAAGTTACATAAATGTACAATAAGTATGATATAATGTAGTCCTACAGTTTGGACAAAAAAAAGGCTATTTAGGTCCCTGATCACACTCGAATGAATGGCAACTTAAATAGAATTTTCACAAATTAGGCCTAGGCCTATGGGTTTTAGAAAGGTCCAGTAGAAATAAGGTTTAACTCCAAATAATTGCAACAAAAGGTTTTTCAACGGATTTTGGTAGTATTGTGTGTGCTAATTAACATAAAGAAGTCTTATAAAATCCGACCAACAGAAAGTGGTTTTTCCAAGATTCCAAAATGGCGGCCATACCATAAACCCGCTACAAATTGTGCTATAATCGCGATCTTTTTAAAACAATAGGTCTATCATGTTTTTTGTTTCAGTAAATCATTTCAGAGAATTTAGAATGTGATATAATCAATATAAATCAATTCAAGATGGCCGCCATGTATAAACAGCCATAAATCATTACGGTACTTACTTTAGCAATTTTTAGTGCCGTTGTTTTGGGTCAAGCTCGCTACTTAGAAGGTTTGCTATTCATAAGGTTCATTATTCATAAGGTTCGTTATTCATAACATTAACTTACCCTATACCAGAGGTTCGTTATTCATAATGAAGAAAAGGGTTTGCTATTCATAATAAATAAGGACCGCCCTTCATAAGGTTCGCTAGACATAATCAAGAAAAGAGGTCACTATTCATATTTTATTAAAAGGACCACAAAACATAAGGTTCGCTAGTCATAATCAAGAAAAAGGGTTCGCTACTCATAATATAAATTAAGGGCCGTTACGGTATTCATAATGTTCGCTATTTACAAAAAAAAAGGGAAAAAAAAGAAAAGAGGTTCGCTATTCATAATAAAAAAGAGGTTCGCTATTCATAATAAAAATAGAGGTTCGCTATTCATAATAAAAAAAGGGGTTCACAATTAATAATATAAAAAAACGTTCACTCAATAAATCAATAAAAAAAATAAGGTAATAAATCAATAAAAAAAAAGGTTTGTCATAATAAAAAAAAACAACAAAAATGGTTTACTTGTAATTACAATAAGAGTGAAAGCTAGTCATACTCCTGCATTTCAATTTCACCCCCACATAACGCCAGTCCCGTGCACTCCGCCCGGCACAATTTCCCCCATTAAACCACCACCTTCATCATTATCATTCCTTGAGTTCTTTCGTTTTTAACTGTATTGTTTTATTGATAGGCCTAATGTCAAATAAAGTGTACATACTCAATTATAATTATACGCTTTTTCATTTCACGTG